AAATTATCTCTTATTATATTATCAGACACAAAGCAAATAAATCAAACAGTCTTATATCTCATGCTAACCTCACTGCTAACCTCATGTTTTAAAGAACGGTAAATAAAACTGGTGTACTCCTTTTTTTCTTTTTTCTTTTTTTTTTCTTTTTTAATATAAACTCATGCAAGTTGCTATTGAGCATATGTTATGTCTTTAAGGCCACAGGGTAGGCTAGTACGAATAGAAACAGAGGCATAAGATGGACAGAAAGAATTTTGAAAAGAAAGGAAAGATGAAAAACTGCGAGCTCTGCAATTCTCTGGCAAAGATGTTTTGTGGATCAGATCAAGCCATCTTGTGCTGGGACTGTGACTCCAAAGTTCATGGCGCCAATTTTCTGGTTGCCAAACATTCAAGAACTCTACTCTGTCACCTCTGTCAATATCCGACCCCCTGGATTGGCTCTGGTCCGAAGCTCAGTCCCACCATTTCTGTCTGCCTTATTTGTGTAAACAACGGTTCTGGTGGAGTTGAGAAGAAGAATGAAGAAAGAAACGGTGATCTTGATGAAGAAGATGATGTGGCTGAAGGTGATGACAGTTACGATGATCTCGATGAGGACGATGATTGTGACATAGAAGAAGATGGTGAAGAAAATCAGGTGGTTCCCTGGTCATCCAGGCCTGTTCCTCTGTGTTTAAGTTCTTCAACCAGTGAAGAATCATCCACCAGGTTCTGCCGCCACAGAGCAAATGCTTCCCAATATAGAACAGCCGCCCCTGCTTCTCCAGTATGCCGACTCCGTTTTCTTTCTTCATTTCCATTTTCCACTCATCTTCCTTTGTTGAAGCTTACTTAACGTTTAGTTTCATAAAATTGGAACAGGATCGAGAAGGGTGCTGCTCCTTTCCTACAGAACAAGGCAATGTGAATTGGTCTAATTCATCAGCCACTTCTTCGCCATTGAGAGACAACAAATGCACAAAATAACTCCCCAGAGATTCAGTGAAGTGATTCAACAAGACGATTCGGTGTTAAGAGTCAAAAACAGTTCACGATATCCACAATATGGGGAGCTCCTGAAAGATTGTCAGTGGCATTCCTACTAACTATACTTACCCTGTCTTCAGTGCTCTGTATTGGGGACGTTCAATAAGGCAAAAATATGACATAAGGACCCGAACTTACATCAAATTCGCAATTTCGGACCCAAACTTCGATTGTGCTCAATGAAGGTCCCGAACTCCTCGAAATTCTCAAATAAGGTCACAATTGGACGGAAAACTAACTTCCGTCAAATCTCCTATTATTCCGTTCATGTTCCGTCAAATTTCAAAAAAATTGGTTAAATGCTAATTCTGATCCCTCAACTTCATTGAGTTTCTTTTTTTTGTCCCTCAACTTCATTAAATTTTACTTTTTTATCCCTCAACTTCATTAAATTTCACTTTTTTATCTTTCAACTTTATTGAATTGTACTTTTTGGTTCATAAACTATTTTTTTGTACTTTTTTTGTTCTTAAATTATTTTTTACACTTTTTTAATTCCTTAACTTTAATAACTGCACAATTTTGATACTTTCATCAGTTTAAGCCATTAACTCTGTCCACTTGGTATTTTTTATATTTTTTTGATGACATGATAATCTAACTAGAAAAAAATAGGTTTAAGTACCATTTTGGTCCCTCAACTTTCCACTTTGGCACCAAAATTGTCCCTCACCTTTAAAAAGTACCAAAATTATCCTCAA